CCAGGGTCCTTAACCGAAAATAAGACGATCTAAGCAAACTTACCTATATCCAATGTTGCTTCATTTTGCCGCTACAGAGTGCAAAAGTTCTCAAATTAATAYAGTTTTTACCAAATAATTTCTAAACGCCTATATCGATTTTAACTTATTTTGAAATCAACAGTTACTACATAAATTGATGTATTTTGACGTAAGCGTGATCTTTTTTTAATGCTCAAAAATATAAAAAATTACGCTTGATTCGATGATAATTGTTCATAATTTTGTTACCCGCTGTAGAAATATTTTTTTTGCTTCTAGCTGATTAATTTTATTAACCCACGCATGTGAAGATTTGCACTCGTGTAATCGTGTATCGTGTAATCACATAAATGCGTTAATAATATAATATACTACTTGTTACGTACAATATTGTTTCTTCTACAACTATAGCGATTATTATTTTAATGATTATTTGAGTAAAAACCATTAGTTATAAACTTGAATACAGAACACAGGTAATGAAAATTTGTCATTGTCATCAGAATCAGTGGCAAAGTTGTGCCTTAAAATTACACATTTTATAATGAGTTCAAGCGATGATCTGCCATCTGATATCGAGGACGGCTTTTAATGTTGTTTCGGATCTTGTGCGAGAGAAACCACGGAAGAAATACCAAAAAAGATATTCAACTTAACAAGCGACAAAGGATTATTACTATATTTTAACAAAGTAAGCCAAAGAGATAAACCCTCATCCTTTTGGTGCTCGCGGTGCCTGCACTAGTGCGGTAATAATGGAGGTTTTCGATATAACGGCAAAAAGTGTCGTTTTTCGAGCGACGACTGCGTTTGATACACGAGACGAAGTTGAGGGTGTCAATCCGTCAGGAGTTCGAAAACCCGATTTTCGCCTTCGTATCGAACAACATTTTTTATTCGAATGGAAAACATAACATGAATCATAAGTTAAAATAAATAAAAATAACCAAAATTAAAAGGCATCAACTTCACATTTTAAATTTGATGTTGTTTTAGGAATGCCTATATTTGACACAAAGTGAACTGTATTTTATTTATAGTTATAATGACGACCACTGGGTTTTTTTATGATATTCTACTTTGTGCCTTTCGATAATCGAGTCTCCATCAACAGCAACTTTTTTGTTTACAAACAACAACCGTTGCTACTGATATCTCGAACTTCAATTATTTTAATTCAACTCACAACTCCTTAACAGATGTCAATGCCATTTTTAAAATTGTCGGGTTTTAACATTTGTAATTTTTCAAAAGCGTACTTTTGTAAGCAAATAAATACACCTGAAGCAATGAGTGTTGAAAATGAAGTGCTGCTTTCACGGTATGGTGTTTGTATAAGATGAATATTTTGCATAAAATTTGCGCTATTTTAAAAAATCGGGTTTTTCTTGTGGCAACATCGGAGAGCGCAGAAAAATAGACCATTTGGAGGACTTTGAGACTGAACTTGTCACAAAGTTATAATTTAACAATTGTAAGTAAACTTTAAAGTATAATCAATAGTTCTCGATAAACCTACGCGATTCATTAAAAAAGCATATTGGTTACTTTTTAATGAAAATACTTTTAAAAATATAATACTAGTGACAGGTTCAATTTGTTACATTTACTTTTGCGTACATGTGCGGAAAGGTCCGTGCGAAAAAGCAAAACAAAGGAACAGTAAAGAAAAATGCTTCTTTATGATCATTGCTTCTGATCGAAAAATGGCACTTTTAGATTCATTCGAATAAAAACATCATTATGACATTTGAAAGAGTGCCAAATCATAGTCATTATATAACAGCTGTACTTAGAATTAGTCAAAAACCGATATAGGCGTTTAAAAATTCGAAAAAAAAACAGCTTAGAAAATTAGTGCATTTATTATTAATTTCCATGTTTCTTGCCAGAATAATATAGGTAAATCTTCAAATACTACATTCGGTTAATCAAAATAAATTGGATTCTCCACAGTAGGTATCCAATGCAAGGGTAGATTCGAAACACCCAAATCCACAAAATCTCGAATGGAAACAATTCAGGAATTCATTTCGAAACTAGACAAAAAAAATCTACCAATGGTCTAATGGCAGACCCCCTTTGGGAACACCCACTTTAAGCAAAAACCCGGCTTAGAGAAAGACGAAATTTAAACACATTAACAATAAACAAGGCCAAACCACAGAACTAACTTCTTTCAAACTACCCACCACTTACCTTTTCTTTTTCAGTGGATCAATTTTGGTTTTTCTCACTCATTAATCTCAGGCAAATAATCCCCTTCCTCGCCCAGGCTTACTCATAGGCCAGCACTAAAGACTAAAAGCCTTAACTGGGTAAGTCTAAAAAACGTTCAACACGCACCGGAGAGGGATATGGAAGGCCACTTCTTCTGTTACCTCATGGCACGAGATAAAAGTTTACATCCGTTGCTTTGACTGATACTGAAATCGATCGTGGTATTCTACTCAATTTTTTTTCCAAAACTCCAAAATCCATACCAAAATGCGTTTGGAATGTGTAGCTTATTTACTTCCGAGACGTGCTTACATATTGTTCTATTTGTTGCCTACGTTTCGTAGCTCTTATATTTGTTGCCCACACTAAAGTGGACGGTACCGATTTAAAAAATGGTAGCACTTTCTACACGTGTAATGGACAATATTTTCCGTTTACGTGACTGGGCGTATGGAGATATTCATAATTACTGTCACCATTAAGTGTTAACCTTACGGATTTAGCTATCTCGAAAGTTAAAAAGCCAAAAAAAAGCTAGGTAAAGAATAAAAATGTTTTTTCAAAATCAAATTCAAAAAAGTGTTGTAATTTTTTGTCCGTCGTTATTTCTAGTTCTACCGGCTCTGTACGGCCGATCCTGATATAAAGACCGGTAGATACTTCGATGAGCTCCTCAGCAGGACTGGCAATGCAGCGAAACTTAACTATGCTGCATCTTTTGAGCTCACTGGTGCAGCGCTCAAGAATGGTCTTTTTGCGTACGTATTCGCGGAACCGTCAATAGTGGAAACCGATGAGGGATTGGCAGAATTTGAGGTAAGCTACACGGTCAACAATCTTTTCCCCTCTTTCCATTACGACGTTTTGCAGTTAAACCTGCCCTCGGTCATTGTAAATGACATGTATGAGAGGATGTGGCAGCCTCATAGACTCTATAAAATCAAATCACTGATACATAGTTGGATGTCGCCGAAAGGCCTATTTAAAAATGGAAAATTGGAAAAATTTGCAATTGACATTCTAAATGTAAGTTGGTTATCAGTAGGGGAGAGTATTGTATCTTAGGGCAAAGCGCACAAATGATTTAGCTATTGCCCCAAGTAATTTTAGATTTGTCTATTTGTCTATATGTCTATTATAATCACACCAAAGAATGTAATCCTCGATTCGAAATATTGTACTTTCTGATGTAAATCACGGTTATCTATCAATCAATAATTATTCAGGATAGAGACATCAAAATTGGCGTCATTCCTCTCGAGGTGATGTCTGGGGGTCTTTTGGGAGTACAGGAAAAATACAAAAATAAATTAGATGTTATTAAAAACTCAGATATTTGCAAAAAAACTAGATCAGAAGGATGGCAACAATGTTTTTCAAGGTAATCTGCTTAACTAACATTACGTAAATACCGGTGATTTCTTAATTATTAAAGATTGTGGTAACCAAAAGAATTTACAATTAAATAATTTGAGGCTAGGATAACGTTGTCACGTTGTCGTAAGTGTTGCCAACACTCACTTTGCTAGTAAAAGTTCTTACAGCTTCTGCTATATTACTGCGGCATTTCCCCACAACTAATTGTATATCCGCAAATTTGTGGAAGGAGTTTCAAAGTAAGTCACACTTTGACAAATTATTGTTAGTATTGGCAAAGGCTATTTACTTGTAACTATATGGTAATAACAAAATCGTCATTGCCACTTTGAATTTTCTATAAAAAAATTGTAGAAAAGTGTTTTTTAATCTAAAAATTTTTCGTAATTTGAAGCAAAGATCGTAGAATCAAGAAATCAACACTTTTTTAATTATCATATAATTCGTAAACTGCTTAAATTAGAAAAAAAGTTAAAATTGTCTTTGGTAGAACTTTTTGCGTTGAATTCAATAAACTAGCACTCGTTGTCATAGTCAACTTGATTTACGAAATAAAAAATAAACTTATGTTTTTTTAAAAGGTAATCACAGTTGGCTGTGGGCCTTTTAAAATCCTTATTTTTTTTTTATTTAACAATATAACTGTTTGTATGTTTTTCTCCTTCTGTTGGGGTAAAACTTCAAAAGAAGATAAAAAATGTGTAGTAGGCTATGGAAACAAGAACTCTATTATCACACAAAGCTCATATGTATAGCCCCTTAAAAAAATTACTCCCATTTTAAATCATCCTGTATAGTAAAGATAAAAACGGTCAAACGGAGTTTTTCAAGTGGAATCGAATAGTAGAGTTAGTTTTTTTGCTATAAGTTATGATTTTTAGATACAAGCCAAATTTAGATTTTTTTATAAGGCACACCATAGATTTTTACATATTTTAATTGGCATTTAAATGTCCCGCCCAACAATACACAGGGTAATTTTTTTATCTTTAAAACCACTCTGTATGACACACAAGAGTTTGTTCAAAATTGAACACAAAAATGAACTTAATATAAATCCTATGTCTTGTTTTTTTAGTAGGCCATGGCACTGAAGCATAGTTAGCGATACCTTTTTGTCTAGTTACTGTCAACATTTCATTCTAACGCAGTTCCATTGATTTTTTAAGTTTCTTGAAAGAACAATTTGATACCCGTGAATTTTATGACTTATTTTCGTGTTTGGTTCAGAGTGAGGAAAGCGTTAATGCGGCCTCTAAGCTCTATTGAAACCGGTAGGTATGACAGTGTTAATGTTATGCTTATTACACGTGAAAACCTTGTTTTATATCTTCGTAGCTTGATATTTCTATTTCCAGATATTCGAACTTAGAAACTTGTTCCACTATTTCTTCGCTAATTGCGATTTTGCATCGTAAGGGTGCCCTTCCTACTACGACCGATTTGGTCTTAGATGTTGATATCTACATATTGTAGGTTGCTTTAGGGGTATGCACCAAGCGTGGTAGGCTATCTCTATTATCCGAGATCAGAATTGCGTCGTCCGCATAACAAAGAATTGTTCCTTCTATCTTCTATGACCAAGAAATTCCTTGTATGGAGACCAACCATCAACAATATAGACTGGAGTCGCACAGACTATTGATGATAATTGTTTTCCATCTGGGAAAATCAGTTCTGAAGAATTGCTTTTTGCAGATGTTTTATCTTTGTATCTAGATGTTGGGGTCCGCAGCTTTTATTGCTGTGTTTGTGAGTGTTTGAACGATTTCTTTCATTTTATTTGAGTTGTTGTTGGACAGCTTGTATAGAGATCTAATGCCAGTATGGGTGTCCTTATGGTATACCTGAATGTTCTAAAAAGTATCTATATCTACAGCATGTTTATTGTGGACTTCTAGCTTATAAAAAACGTCAACTCTTCCAAATTCAACCCAGAACATGCTTGGTTGGAAAAACATTTTATAGAACGATCAACTGGAGTCAGTAAACCCAGGTATAAAATTAACCCCAAGATGGAACACTACTTGCACGATCTCAATGAGCTGCTTGGCAAAACTGACCTAAAGTAAGCAAACAATACACACATTGCATTATTATAAGCTAAACAATACTTTCCTCCACAGTATTGTTGTAAACTACTTCAAGATCATGGTAATCATTCACGATTGCATTTACCTCCCAGGTCGAGAAGTCAATGGATGTGCGGACTTCCATGGAATGAAACCGTTCAACGAAACCTGTTATTCCATTGCTAGAAACAGGTAAGAATGATAAAGCGCAAAAGGTTTCATACAAATATTTTTTGTACTACTAACCAGAGAAGTCATTATTATTTATTCCATTTCCCTAGTGAGACGTTATATTTCTCTATCGACGTCAATAAAAATAATAAAAAAGTCCCTAGGTTAATAATGAAAGATGTTTAGGTTTTCCATTATTTTCAGTTTACCCACCTCTATAAGTTCAAGAGAGATTCCAGCCATTTTCAGTTCTAAAACCACTGTAACTTTACCATTTACTATTTTTTCTCATTTCCCAGGAGTTTTTCATTGATTTTTTATCTGTTTTCTGGAGACCGAAAAACTATATTGCGGCAGTTTGACAACTGAAGGTCAGACTATCAAACATAGTGGTCAGACTATCAAACATAGTGGCACTTTTTTACACACTTTTTACCACAAATTTACTGGAAATTCCGAATTTAATTAAATCAATTTAAAAATGTATCCGTGTTAGTAGTAAAAAGAATTCTTCAGGGTGCTTTACAATGGGCGTCATTCCTCTGGAGGTGTTGTCTGGCGTTATTCTA